CTGCTCGCCCGGATCTGGAGGTCAGAGTCTGCGACTCCCTCCCGATTGTAAACAATCGCGCCCTCCGCGCTGCCAGCCCCGCTCCGCGCGCCCTCGGTACCTGAGAATTTCACTTCAGCACTGCGTCCCCTCTGAGTCTGGATATAATATTCTCTTTACTCCTAGTTGCAGAATTTCCACTCAGCCAGCCCGCCTGTGTTTCTGGATGTTGTGGGTCCCTGGTTCAAGCTTAATTTGAATTGGTTGTTCAAGGCGGCAATCTCCGGCGTTAACCTATGCCGCCATCTTCGGTTCTCCTCATCAGTGGGACCTTTGCTGCTGCATCACTGATGACAGAGATTTTACATCAGGTTTATATTTCGTGACCTTCAGAGATATGCACAAGCTACTACTTTCATCCGTGAGGCTACTCCTATTACGAGACTTAACAAAATTCATCACTGAGAACAAAGATTGACAATTGTAAATGGAAGATTTTAAGAGAGGGTTTCGCGTGCCTGCAAAAGTTACTGGCGTCCCATGTTTGGCACGCATGCCAGGGGTTGCCCACCCCTGGTCTAGTGTAACTCACCTTTCTCCCTGCCTTTTACTCTAGCCAGTTAGGCCTTGCTTCAGTTCTTGAACATTCTGTTCCTTCTACCTGGAGTTACCCCTCCCTCCATCTCTCCCATTACCTGTTGAACTTGTTCTTCAAATCTCAGCGAAAGGGTCTCTTCCTCTGGTAGCTTTTCACTATTCATCCAGTCTAGGACAACTTTTTTTATGTGACTTTATATTACTATTGTCTTAGAAAGCATTTTGTATGGTCTGATTATTTGATTCATGTATATCAACCTCCAATAGACTAAACTTTATACAATCTATGGTCCTGTATCTGTTTTGGCTCATGATTGTATCTCCAGCATTAAGAATAGTACCTGACACATAATTACTGCTAACAAGAATTTGTTAGAGTGTATCATTATAGAATAAGAGTATAACCATGCAGAGTTAACTAGTTTTTCTGAAAATTGGGTCTCATCAGCTGTTTTCATCATGTAGTTCTTTAACAGCTAGGGGTAAGTCTGTGTTGAACCTTTGTAGCAGTAATGTTTACTGTATGACAGTGTTGATTCCAGTCTCAGTAGTAACCAATTTACATTATATTCCCTGCATTAAGCTCTTCAAAAATTCTATCACTCTTATTAGTGGCACTGTTGTTTGGTGGCAAGTGTTAAATATAATTTGCAAAACTCTACCAACTTGCAGCTCTTCTAAGCTTCCTTAGGAGAAGAAATATTCAAATCCTAGTTTCTGGATATAAATCTCTTTAACATACATACTCTGAGCTGTTCAGTCCCCTCTATTTCTTCATTATTGTCTTCAACATTTGTTGAAGTGATAGAACTAAAGTATCAAGAGCTCAGTATTAAAACCTATGTCAGGAGTTGATTCAGAATGAGAGAGTTTGAAAAAAAAAAGAAAAAGGCAAATGCCATTTAAATTCATTCCAAAGCTAGTAACTAGTAAGTCACTGGGTTTTCACAGTTCCATGTCACAGGGGGAAGTTTCTAACCAGTAAGAGTCCTAGTTTAAAAGACAAGAAATTTGATTGGATGGTGTGAAGTATCTTTTGGCATTTATTAGCCAGAATCACTGCATATGGCCACACAGTTGTGTATCACAGAGGCCCTGCTAGTAAGGCTAGAATTCTGTAGCAGGATTCTACTTATCAGGTTAGATTAACGTAAAATAAATATATGGCTCAGTGGTTGAGTGTCAACCTATGAACTAGGAGGTCAAGGTCCGATTCCTGGTCAGAGCACATGCCCAAATTGCTGGCTTGATCCCCAGTAAGGGGCATGCAGGAGGCAGCCAATTATTCTCTGTCGTCATTGATGTTTCTATCTCTCCGTCTCCTTTCCTCTGAAATCACTGGCAGATGGCCATCTACAAACTTTGTCTTGAAACTGAATCCTCTCTCTAACATCTAAGCTGTTTCTGACATATGAATATAGGAATCAATAACATATATTAGTCTCACAGATTGGAGAAAAGGAACTCTAATGACTAGGCTTTTTAGCTGGTCTGTAAGACCATTCCCTAACACACATACCTCCTTTTGATTTTTGGAGCATATTGTTCATTCCATATATAAAAAACTGGAGATTTCTAGTTAACACAGACATGAAAAAAGAAGTAGGTGGAACATAAGTCTGGCTTATTTTTATCTGCAATGGAGAACTGTTTTTGAATTATGTTCTTTGATGCCCTAAATGTCTGGAAAACTAAATGTAAAGATCATATATTCTGGGAGGCCTATAGTGTCATAATAGTAATTGGATGTGACCCTTGTTTTTATTTATTAATTATCTTTTTAAAAAGGAGCCCTAATTAGTTTGGCTCAGTGGCTAGAGCATCTGCCTGCGGACTGAAGGGTCCTGGATTCAATTCCCATCAGGGGCACATGCCTGGATTGTGGGCTTGATCCCCAGCAGGGGGCGTGTAGGAGGTGGCCAGTCTATATTTCTCATCATTGATGTTTCTATCTCTCTCCCTTTCCTTTCCTCTCTGAAAGCAATAAAATAAAATAATTTTTTTAAAAAGTAAAACATTTCCAAACTAAAGTATACCCATAAAAATAAGCATCTATCCTACATCATATTTACTAATGATGATCTAACTATAAGTATTACTCCATGTCAAAACAACTTGAAATATTTTCTGAAATATCATGAAATTGTTACACATTAGTGAAATAATAAGAGTTTATTCATTCAACAAGAATTGAGTGCTGCCCTAGCAGTTGGTTAGAGCATGATCCCCTGCACCCTGCATATGATCCCAGTTAGGTTGCACATCCTGGTTGGGGAGTGTCTCATCAATGTGTCTCTCTCTCTCTCTCTCTCTCTCTCTCTCTCTCTCTCTCTCTTTCTCCTCCTCTTCTCCCCTCCTCCTCCCTTCCCACCCTCTCTCCCCCCCAGTTCCCTTCTCTCACTCTCATTCTCCTTCCTTCTCCCTCTTCTTCTCCATCTGTCTCTAAAATCAATAAACATATCCTAGGGTGAGGATTAAGACAAAAAAATTGAGTGCTTAGTATGTCTCCTCCTCCTCCTGTTCCCTTCCTCCTCCTCCTCCTCCTCCTCTTCCTCCTCCCTCTCCATTGAGTGCTTACAATGGTTCTCAACCTTCTGGCCCTTTAAATACAGTTCCTCATGTTGTGGCACAACCATAAAATTATTTTCGTTGCTACTTCATAACTATAATGTTGCTACTGGTATGAATCGTAATGTAAATATCTGATATGCAAGATGGTCTTAGGCGACCCCTGAAGGGGTCGCGATCCACAGGTTGAGAACCGCTGGCTTAGTATGTCAGGCCCTGTGATCCTTATATAAGGACTTCATAGTCTACAGCTACATCAGCTAATATAGTAGCCACTAGCCATATGTGGCTCTTGAGTACTTGGTATGTGGCTAGTTCAAATTGAGATAAACTGAAAGTAAAAAATACAATTTCAAAGATTTAATACAAGAAAAAATAATTTTATCTTAATTTTATTGAATTGCTTAATGTTTAAATGTTAATATTTTGGATATGTTGGGTTAAAAAACATTAATTTTAACTTTCATTTTTTAATGTAGCTACTTGAAAATTTTAAATTACTTATATGGTTTGCATTATATGTCTAATAGAAACTGCTAGTCTGTAGCTTATAAATCGCAGCAGAAATATCCTATAAAGTAGTAATTACATTGACTGGTTTTTTTTATTTAATTAGAAGAACCAGTTAGTGTAAATTATTTTTTATGATTGAAATAGTGTTTAGAATCCTCCATACGAGATAACACAAATACACAAACTGTCAGTTGCTCTTAATGTATACTCTGCTTCTATTTGAATTCACATTCCCTTTATTATGTAGCTTTTTTGTTAATAAATGGGTTGTTTCCTAGATGTTTACTGAACTACAGCAAATGAGGCAACAGCTACCAGACATGGAATTTGGCCGACGAATGGCTGTAGAACGTGAGTTGGAGAAGGTGGATGCAGTGAGATTAATTAATATAGTTTTTGATGAAACTGGACATTTTGTGCTATATGGAACAATGCTGGGCATTAAAGTTATAAATGTAGAAACAAACCGGTAAGCTTTAATATGCTGTATTTTTTTAAATGCATTTATTGGGGACCATTTCCTCCTTCAGGGAAACAATGGGAGTTTTGTTTGTTCCAAGACAAGTGGAATGGTCCCAAATGTCTAAACTTAACCAAATGTTTTGACTGGATTTTTCTGTGGTCTTTCTGTTGTTTATACTCTTATGTAAAAAGTTTCCACTCATGTTTGTGAAAGAAATGGAAAGAAGATATGCATAGTTTCAAGTTGTTGTTGTTGTTGTTTTTTTAACAAGTTATAGTCTGTCTTTTGATTATTGATTTAAATTAGCCTGGTTCATGTTAAATGTTGCCAAATATTTTAACCACAGAATTCGGCATTACATCCTGCTAGACATAAAATCAGAACTTAAAATGCATGAAACCACAATAAGCCTTTTGTGCAAACAGTCCATTTGGTTTTAGTTCAGAAAGCTACAATCAGATACTATCACTGAAGGTAAATAAAAAGAACTTAAAAGTATATTTTAAGGAGAAAAAAATTTTATGCTGTACATTCTCACATATAAACAAATTTACATTTAGTTCTTAGCAATACAAAAATCTTTGAAGGTTTGCACATAGACTAAATAATGGGGATAGGTTAAAACTATATGATTGAACAATTGCAATTTTTTTTTACCTGAAAATTATAGCTCCCTACCAATTTTAAATAGCTTTTTTGGTGGTGAGGTGGGTAAAGAAACACTTTTAAAAAATCTTTCACTATTTTGTACAAAGATCAACGATAGCTGATTCCCAGCTTTTATCTGTAAAGTTGTTATGATTGGAATTAACTCTGAAAATTTTATTGTATAAAACGTGTTTTCCAGGTGTGTGCGGATCTTAGGCAAGCAAGAAAATATTAGGGTGATGCAATTGGCTTTGTTCCAGGGAATAGCCAAAAAACATCGTGCTGCAACTACTATAGAAATGAAAGCTTCTGAAAACCCCGTTCTTCAGAATATTCAAGCTGACCCAACAATAGTCTGTACGTCTTTCAAAAAGAATAGATTTTATATGGTATGTGGAAGTACTAAGAGATGGACCTTAATGTTTCTTCCAGTTTGGTTGGAGTTTTCTTTTCTTGGCTTGTGCTTTCAACTGAAGAGAATGTTGGCAATAATTGGCTTTCTAAACAACCAGAATACTATCTTATAACAATATTGTAGAATTTTTAAGTAGGACTTGATTGTAAGTATTTCTGTACAGTTTTCTATTCTGTTTTGAAAAGTTTTCAACCTGGCTTTTATAACTATTTGTGTTGTCTAAGATAATAGGAAGTAAGTGGTTATGGTAATAATCGAAGCCAAAATACTATGGGGTTTTAAAAATTATTCTGTGTTTTTATTATTTTACATTTTTTTCTCTTGAACATAATTTATTTCCCCTGAACTTGCACATTTTCTTCTTTAAACACATTTTTAACCATTTGTCTCTTTTGTAATGTTGCTACTTTAGAACTGTGTATTCCTGAGAAATCTATTTTCCCAGTGAGTTAAAAGTACTTTACATGTTAATTAAAATTGCGCTCAAAATCAAACTCCGAAGCTATCTACAAGTAGCACTGTTGGAACTGTTCAACCAAACCGAAAAATCTAAAGTATAGAGACCTCCTGTCCTTGATTTCTGTCCTTCACACTGCAGTCAGAGACATTCTGAGACCCAAATGTGATTACAGCAGGTCCTCAAATATTGTCATTTCCTTTTAACATTGAAGGGGGCTGGGGTTGGAGAGGACGGGGAATTGATTCTCGGCTGGCACCACTGTCAGTGTGGAGTTTGCACATTCTTCCCATGTCTGTGTGGGTTTTCTTTGGGTACTCGTTTCCTCTCACATCACAGAGATGTGCACATTAGTTAATTGCATGTCTGAATTGTTCCAGTCTGAGTGAGCGTAGGTGTGTGTGAGCGTGTCCTGCATGGAACAGGGTCCTGTCCAGGGTTGATTCCCGCCTTGAGCCCTGGACTGCAGGGATAGGCTCCAGCCATGCATCACCCTGAATTGGAATAAGCAGGTTGTGAAATAATTATCTAACTGGTTCTTATTAATCTTTAATATATGTATAGCTCACATTTATTTCAATGTTTCATCTCATTGTTTAATATTATAAGTGTTTTGGATCTTTGTTTAGAAGTTGGGGTGATGTTTTTGTGATCAGAAGTAATACCATAGGAACTTAACTCATTTATATCAATTAGTCTGTGGTAAAATTGATTTTGTTATACATTGTTTTGACTAAAGTCACATTTCCAAGAACCTATCGATGACATTGAGGACTTAGTATATTTCTCTGCCTAACTCCCCAGCTGTCTGTATTAGCTGGCCTCCTATCTTAATATTCTTCATTTTTAGGTCACTTGCTACTTTAACCATACAAAAGTTGATCTCATTTGTGATAAGTTGGTTATTCTTTTTATTTTATTCTTCTTTATTGATTAAGGTATTACATATGTGTCCTTACCCCCAATTGCCTCCCCACCCCACCCCTGTTCATGCCCTCACTGCCCCCCCACCCCCTAGTGTCTGTGTCCATTGGTTATGCTTATATGCATCCATACAAGTCCTTTGGTTGATCCCTCCCCTTCCCTCCTCCTTCCCCCTGACTTCCCACTGAGGTTTGATGGTCTGACCAATGATTATCTGTCTCTGGATCTGTCTTTATCATTGCATGTTCATTATATTCCACAAATGAGTGAGATCATGTGATATTTATCTTTCTCTGACTTATTTTGCTTAGCATAATGCTCTCCAGGTCCATCCATGCTGTTGCAAATGGTAGGAGTTCCTTTCTTTTTACAGCAGCATAGTATTCCATTGTGTAGATGTAGCACAGTTTTCTAATCCACTCATCTGCTGATGGGTACTTAGGCTGTTTCCAGATCTTAGCTATGGTGAATTGTGCTGCTATGAACACAGGGGTGCATATATCCTTTCTGATTGGTGTTTCTAGTTTCTGGCAACGCCATACTGTTCTCCACAGTGGCTGCACCAGTCTGCATTCCCACCAGCAGTGCAGGAGGGTTCCTTTTTCTCTGCATCCTCGCCAGCACTGTCCTTTGTTGATTTGTTGATGACAGCCATTCTGACAGGTGTGAGATGGTACCTCATTGTCGTTTTGATTTGCATTTCTCGGATGATTAGTGACTTTGAGCATGTTTTCATATGTATCTTGGCCTTCTGTATGATTATTCTTTTTTACATCTAAGCATTTGCACATGCTATTCCTTTTGCCAGCTACAAATACTAGTAAACCACCCAACTCCTACACATACTTCAGATCTCAGCTTGGAAGCCTTCTCTGACATCAAATCTAGATTAGGTGTGCCTGGTTGTGTTGGTGTCACACTTTTGGAGTAATTTTCTGGTATTATTTATTTTTTTTTTTGGTTTCTGATACTGTCATCTCCTCTTCATGATAATATAAAATCTGTAAACATAGGCACTACATTTTTTTTTTCACTATTAAATCCACAAAGTTTTGTAAAGTGTTTGGCCCATTATAGTATATTCATTTATTCATCTGACATATTATAAGCATCTGTGATGCTATTAAGGTTACCAGCATTTGGTACATGTAAGAAATAGCATTTCCCTACCCTGACCAAGCTTTTAACCTAGAATGGGTACATTCTTTTAAGGTGAGAATTTTCTTATAATTTCCAAAGTCATTGCTAAAATTTTATCAATATATGTTAAAGGAAAATAATTTTTCTTTTACCTGTAATTTAACCTGTTTTTACCTGTAATTTAACTTTTTGAAGGTACAAATTAATCACAAAATATAGTTCTTGATATGCACTAAAAACATAATTTTCCAACCACTTTATTTAAAAACTAATGAGTTTTCTTTTTCTTTCCCAAAAATTTACTTTTATGTTGATTAAACCACAGATTTTCTCATAAACTTGGAATAGAAAAAATAAGTCCCTCACAGTGTGTCTTTATACAGTTAACATTTCATGAATTATCTTTGAGGTTTATTAGATGTACATATTCTTAAGCAAAATTAAAATGGTCTATGTACATTTCTATTACTTTTTAAATCCAATATCATGAAATAAAAGTAAAATTTTATAAAATTTGAACTTTAGTAGTTTCACATGTGAGCTAAATCAAGATAACTTTATTTTTTTTTAAATATATTTTATTGATTTTTTACAGAGAGGGAGGGAGACAGAGTTAGAAACCTCGATGAGAGAGAAACATCGACCAGCTGCCTCCTGCACATCTCCCACTGGGGATGTGCCCGCAACCCAGGTACATGCCCTTAACCGGAATCGAACCTGAGACCCTTCAGTCCGCAGGCTGACGCTCTATCCACTGAGCCAAACCGGTTTCGGCAAGATAACTTTAAAGATTCATATAAATAGTACAACAGACTTGCCATTCTCCTTTGAAAACTGTAGAATAATATGTGAAGGCAATCACATCGTAACTTGGTTGTTTATTTGGAATCTATCTAAGTGGACCAAGGAATGCTATTAGGCAAGACAGGCCTGGGCACAAGCTTTACCTTCCTGCAACTCAGTTGGCGTCAGGTAGAGCTTTCTTCTTACTGAGAGTCAAAAGAAACAGGCCTTGAGAAATCCAGAGTTTTAACTGAAAGGTTTTTCTCAATTCTCTTTATACCCTGAGAATCCTGAGATTTCTGCAACTTCACTCAAAATTTACATTCTTTCTCCCAGGCTTCAGGGTTTAGGTATATCAGATGGGGCTCTGCAAAAAAAAAGAAGTCAAGATTCACTACTGATTGTCTGTGAATCCTCACCCTACCTTGCCCAAGTCTTGTTCATAGTAATAACAAGTTAATATATACACAGTGATCTCTGTATGGTAAGCACTATTCTCTAAGCAGTTTGCATCCCCTTTCATTTAATCTCGTAACAGGTACCATTTGGGTAGTTTTTATTATTCCCATTTATGAATGAGGAAATGTAAGAAGTGAATTTACTTACCCAAAGTCACATAACTCGTAAATGACAGAGCTGGAATTCAAACCCAGGGTTTCTAGTGAAAAGTAGGCAACAGGTGGCAGGTTAGGACATGATATAAGTATAAAAATAATTTAACTGCCTTACACACCCTTTGATAGGAAGTGATTCCTGAAATAAGGATTTATTCTGATGTGAATTCATACCTTCCTCAAATATTTCACTAGAAATTAAATTTGCTTGTTCATAAACTTTAACCAGATGAAAATTTTAATTCATTTACTCACTTTTTACTTTCCTCCTTTAGTTTACCAAACGAGAACCAGAAGATACAAAAAGTGCAGATTCTGACCGAGATGTTTTTAATGAGAAACCTTCTAAAGAGGAAGTCATGGCAGCTACTCAGGCTGAAGGACCCAAACGAGTTTCAGATAGTGCCATTATCCACACAAGCATGGGAGACATTCACATCAAACTTTTTCCTGTTGAGTATGTATTGTTTTTGTTGTGTTAACCACCATTTTAAATGTGTATATTTGAAGAAACTGTGCAACTTAAAATTTTTGTTATTTTGACTTAAGGAATTTTGCAGAATTGAAATGTTTGATAGAGCATCAACCCTGAAATTTCTGATTAATTGTTACTCTAGACATTTTTATACATATATACACATACTTAACAGGTAAAATACGAGGACAAACATCTCGGCTATGAAAGTGATGAATGAAACTAAAAAGTTATGCAAATGTATATTTCTATTACCATTAACTGCACATCCCAACTATAAGATTTGTGGCTCGCTTATTATAACTGGTTTTCCTCTCAAAGCAATCTCTTAAGGGGAGAATACTTATTTTTCCTTCCTGACATTTGCTAGACATAGATTTCCTCTTAGACTCAATAGCTGTATTTTTGAAAATGTATTCCAATAAAACACATAAGGGCTTCCATTGAAAAAGGGAAAATAGTATTCTGGACATTTTTAAAAGTTTGCAAAATGAGCATGCAATACCAAATACAGTAGTGTCTCTGGCTAGTCTTGATGCAAAAGGTGACATCTTTACAACTGATTTATCTTCGAATCCTCGTCCTACCTAGTACCTTTATTTAAAAGTACTTATTTTGAATATGAATGTTTTATCATGCCATACCTTGGTACTGAACAAAGAATTGGGTAGTTTTGCCCTAGCTGGTTTGGCTCAGCGGATAGAGCATTGGCCTGCGGACCAAAGGGTCCCAGGATCAATTCTGGTCAAGGGCACATTTCTTGGTTGCAGGCTTCTCCCCAGCCCGGGCCCTGGTCAGGGCTCATGCAGGAGGTAACCAGTCGATGTGTTTCTCTCACATCAATTTCTCTCCATCTTTCCCTCTCTCTTCCACTCTCCCTAAAAATCAATGGAAAATATTCTTGGGTGAGGATTAACAAAACCGAAAAAAGACGAACTAGGTATCTAGACTCCTGGATCATCTCATTTCAAGTATTTAGAACCCATGCACCCATTAAGCCTGTTGCTCCCTGATGTACTTCATTCAGGATTCTCTTGATTTTCCCCTCCAACCCCAGCTGTAAGAGCTATTACAGGAAAATGATACCACATTAAATTACCCCATGGGATTAGTTAATATTATTTAGAATGCTTCATACTCAGTGTGTCTGATTATCACTTAAAGTTGATTAAATTTAGGAGATAGCATTTTGGTGAATAAGTCCTTGGTCAGGAATGTGTCACTGTAACCATTAATACTGTTTTTATGAGAAAATTACCTTTCCTGGGAACTTAACCCATCATATATAGCAAATTGTATATATTTTAAGGTGCTATGGTTGTTGTTTTTACATTTTGGTTGTTGTTAATCCTCACCTGAGGATATTTTTCCATTTATTTTTAGAGTGGTAGGGAAGGGGAGAGACAGAGGGAAATCGATGTGAGAGATACATAGATTGATTGCTTCCCACTTGCCCTGACTGGGGCAGGAAATCAAGCCTGCAACTGAGGTACATGACCTTGACTGGAATTGAACCCAGGACCCTTCAGTGTGCCAGCCAATGCTCTATCCACTGAGCCAAACCAGCTAAGGCTATGGTTGTATTTTTTAAACTAAATAACCTTGAAGTCTAAATATTGTTAAACTCAACTATAATAAGCAATCTTGATATAAAGATACTACATTAAACAATAAAAGAGGTTTAAACCTAAGGTATAGCATTCTCTCACACTTAGTTTATTAGAAAGGAAGAGGAAAAATAGACTATGGAAGCCAAAAGAATAGTCATGAATATCAAATCTAGAAAAGGACTGGAATAGTAGCGTAATTACCATTTTAGAAACACTGCAACAATATTTTTTCAACAGCTGAAAACAAGGTCACATAATGAGTAAAGGGGTCATGCTGAGATAAAAACCAATAGCCACTGTTCTAGTGGCTAAATAAGAAGATACGATTTTAAGTAATAGAAGAGCCCAGGTGCCACTTAATCTGTGAGAACCACCATGCATAACTGAAGAACGGAATGAACTCTGCCCAGCATCTTGTTGGGCAGCATTCCATAAAACATATGTAGTTCTTGTTTACTGACAAGTCAGAAATGATAGGAGGAAAAGTCAAGCTTCAGGGTTCTGGAGGAATTAATGAAATGAAATCCAGAAAATCAAGTGGTTAGGGAAAGGTAGGTGAGAAGAATGAGGCAATTATATAAGATATTGTACAGAAACTAAAATTGACACTATTAATTGTAGATTATTGGGGAAGATATAGATGTCTATAAATGAGAATACCTTTGCATTTTTTTTTAAATTTGGTAGCAGTCGGGTAGTAGAAATACATCATCCAAATTAAAGTATAACTTACTGAGTTTAATAAAATCACTTTATAAAGTGACTGTTAACAAAGTTACAATTTTACTGAATACAAACCACTCTTTACAACCCTTACTCCAAAGCAGACATATAGAAAAGAACAGTGTAATATGTTTTTTAATAATTCTTAATTTTGAAAGTATTACATATGTTCCCTTTTTTCTCCCCATTAGTGCCCTCCAGCCCGTTTAATATATTTTTTGTGTACTTTCTGTTAAGGGCTTCATGATTCAGACTGGAGATCCAACAGGTACTGGTATGGGAGGAGAAAGCATATGGGGAGGAGAGTTTGAAGATGAATTTCATTCAACTTTACGACATGACAGACCATATACACTCAGCATGGCTAATGCTGGCTCGAATACTAACGGATCTCAGTTTTTCATAACAGTAGTACCAACGGTGAGTAGAACAGCATTATCTGTAAGCCAAAAATTCATAAGTTATGATCTAAGAGTAAATTCAGTGGATGAGAGCTACATTAGTCTTTATCAAAATGAAAATAATTTAGGTAAGAAAATATAAAATTACCCAACAAATCAGAAATACTTTGTAAACAATACTTCTGTAATTTAGGACACTTAAGTTTTAGTCATCTTCTCCACTGTTATTGTTTTGTACAGTTCAAAACAAATTATTTCACCTCTGGACCTGTTTCCTCATCTTTAGAATGGAGAATTAAAGTACATGAATTCCTGATTTTAAGGCATTTCCCCCACACATTTTTATATCTCTAAAATCAGAATGCAACCAATAGCATTGTAGATTTGACGGAATACAGTATAAGAATATCTAGCTTTATTGCTATGTAGTTCTACATGATTATAAAAATTATACACTTTATTTTTTGGAAACAAGCATTAAGCGTTGAAAGAAAAATATAACTATTATCTACCAGTCTCATGTAATATTCACAATACGTCTAGTATCACTATACCCAGTTTTAAGTAATAGATGAGGAAACAAATATGATTGCCTTGCCAAAGGTCAAGTAGCAGAGCGCCAGCATTTGAGTGCCCACGTCTTTAATGCCAAAGCACATGCTGCTTAAACTATTCCAAATTGCCTTTTAAACTATGCAAAGGAACTTGCCTTTAGCAAACACATTCCAGATCCCTTTGATCTGAAAGCTGCACATATTTAAACATTATACTGTGCTTTTATATTTTTCTTATAAACATGGAAATTACTCTTAAAATACTCTAAGTGAAATTACTGTAAATCTTTTTAATTACATAAAAAAGTAAAGCATAAATTTAAATTCTCTTTAATTTGCTCGCCCAGAGGGTGTGAATTAAGAAACCTGGTTTACCAAGATTTTCCGTTTGTCCTCCAACACAGCCTTGGCTTGATAATAAGCACACAGTATTTGGACGAGTGACTAAAGGAATGGAAGTTGTACAACGGATCTCCAACGTCAAAGTCAATCCCAAAACAGATAAGCCCTATGAGGATGTCAGCATCATAAATATTACTGTCAAGTAAATCAGATGTATCGTTTAATGTGTAAATAAAAATACACATATAGTAAACAGGATTATTTTACATTGGGAATCTCTTAAGACTTGCTGAACATACAAATCATGTTTCAAGGATTGCAGTATCGTATTTTTATATTTTTCATTAAAGGCCATTTTTTAAAGTTTTGCTTTTTTCTTGCAATATTTCTCATTAGGTAAAAAATTGAAATGGACTAAACTCAGGCAAAATAGCACTCCTTACATGTAATTTCTCATGAGACTCAAAATCATAGTAAATAATGAGTGGTATGCCTTTGTTTCTTAGCTTTTCAAACATGCCTGTTAATCTGCCCTCACGTGTTTCTTCAGACTTATGAAGAAAGGCCACGCCCTCCACGCCGCGCCGCCAGCCCAGCTCCATGCTCACTCCTACCTCAGAATTTCACTTCAGCACTGCGCCTCCTCTGAGTCTGGATATGATATTATCTTTACTCCTAGTTGTAGAATTTTCATTCAGCCAGCCCTCCTGTGGTTCTGGATGTTGTCAGTTCCCTGTTTCAGGCTTAATTTGAATTGGTTGTTCAAGGCAGCAATCTCCGGCGTTAACCTATGCCACCATCTTCGTTTCTCTCGATAGTATATGTTTCTTGTACAAGGTTTGTGTTCCATGGCAAATAGCTTTGTCTTTTGATCATTAAGTCATAAGTAAGTGTTAAGTAAAACCTCAGTAAATAAGTAGGAGGTCCCTTTGGTCATATTAAATTCCTTAATAATTATCAAATATTCTTTCAAATATAAGAATGAATATAGAGTCCTTGGTTTTATAGACATATTGATTTACCAGTTCATTCTTTTTCTAATGCAGCTAAATAATTTTTGTCCTCATTTATACTATTTTTTCTTACCTTACTTAATATACTATCAAAAAAATATAATTGAGTAAAAATTTTAGTATATAATGAGAGATTAATAGAAATTGTAGTAAAACAATGAGTCCAAAGTCTTATAGCGATTTCCCTTCTTGTTTACTTACCCTGATAACTTCATAACTACTAAGAACTATTGCTTCTAATTTCTGGACAGATTCTTCAAGAACTTATAGAAAGAACCTGTGCAATAGATCTGTTTAGGGATTTCATTCGTATACTTTAAATCTTAGCTTACACTTTTCCTTCTGTTCATCAGCAGGATATTTCCTTTATTCATTTTATACCACAAACTTCTTTTTAAAACAAAAATGTTTTTATTGATTTGAGAGAGGAAGAGAGGGATAGAGACACCAATGATGAGAATCATTGACAGTCTGCCTCCTGCACACCTCCAATTAGGGATCAAGCCTGTAACCCAGGCACGACTGGGAACCAAGTAGGTGACCTCTCCGTGCATGGGAGGATGCTCAACCACTGAGCAACACCGGCCGGGCTGCACCACAAACTTAAGTGATGGAAGCACATGCAAGTTTTGCTACTTTAAAATTGTATCCTCCTCATAAGATGTAGGACTTGAAGTTGGACATAAAATGTCTTTTCACTGTGACAAAAGCATGTTTTAAATTATTAGCAAGAAACCATCTGACATTTATTAGTCCTTTTCACTCATTCATTTAGGAGAAAAGTATAGCTAAGCTATCGTCTTCCCTATTCCTATTTTGCAAACTGAGAAGTATCTCAATGTTACATAAAACGTCTTTTAGCAATATTAGTTCATAGACTACAGCTAAGTTTTCCAAGCCATTTTCTAAAAATGGTTATTTAAAATGCTATTCTCTCTTACAATATTTAGGTCTTACAGAAGCCTACACCTAAAACCTATATGATCTTGTTGACCAATGTCACTCCAATAAATTTAATTAAAAACACACACACACACACACACACACACACACACACACACACACAATAAAATGCTATGTTCTCACATGAAATAAGGTTAAGTTTAAAATTTAAAAAGCAATAGACTCTTCAATGCAAAATTTTAGTCAAAACACTAGTTATAATACTCATTAAAATGTGACATTGCAAATACAGACTATGTTATTTCTAAATCTTTAATATACTACATCTCAAATTTGACGTGTGAATCCCTACCCCATTTTATTGTTTATCTTCACAACACAAACATGAATTTTTTTTCATTAAATTTTATTGGGGTGACATTAGTCCACATGTGTGGATTACTAATGTACAAAATCTGTATATAGGGCCATGTGCCCACCACCCAAAGTCAGATCTTTTCCTGTCACCTATTAGGACCCCTTTCTTCCCCCACCCCCTCCTTCTGGCAACCACCACACTGTTGTTTGTGTACATAAGCTTCAGTTTTATATTAAACATGACTTTTAAAAATAGTTACTACCCCTACTATTAGATGGTTCAAGAAACAGAATTTTTAGAATAACGATAGGACTTCTTTAAAAGGATTGTAACAGTTTATTGCTGTCTATAATGATCATATGTGTAATGAAAAAATGGCTTCTGGTGATTATAAAGCATTCCAGAATTACACACCAGGGCTATACACTTGAAAAACCTGCTTTACGTAAATCATACAGTAATATGTAGGCTTAATACAGAAACTCAGGGCTAGGAATCAAATCCTAATAGATTGTATTTAACATGTTTCTCTTATTCTTAAATTTGACATTCCCCAGAGGGAACTAGCACAATCTTAACTAATCATTAGTGAAAGAATACTACCACAAATAGTAATAATGGCCTAAGAAAAATACTTCTTAAAAAAAAACGCAAACATTACTATTATGTACATTATAACCAGGTCTAAGCACAGTTTTAAAAATTGTGTTTAGTAATATGTTAAGAATGTGAATACAAAGTTTAACAAAATCGATAAAATAAAAAATAATTTACAAGGAAAGCAAGTTTACATGTTAGTGTCAGACATTTTTCTTTCAATTACCTAGTAGATAAATCAGTTCAAGGGCTCACAGACAAATGTAACATCTTTATTTTTCACAGTTATTGCAATCAGTCCAATATTAAATAATTTAATTCATAAGTATTATTTATATGCACAAACTACACTTGTAACAGCATGACCTTTTACTTGAAAAATAAAGGACAATATAATTATATTATTTACACAATGCCCATAACACTAATGGACAGTTTTTTAATGCTTTGTTTTCTAAAAGTTTTGTTGTTTTTAAACAAAAATAAATTGAAAGAGAATGAACCAAAACAGTACCACCAAGTCACATTTTGTCATCAGACATTGATGTCCTCATAGTAGTTCAACTAAGATTATGATTGAACTTCATCCTAAAATATAAAAAGTATTTTTTAAAAACCATGAAATCCGCCTGGCTGGAGTGGCTCAGTTGGTTGAGCGTCATCCTTGCACCAAAAGGTTGCCAGTTAGATTCCTGGGGCACAGACCTGAGTCGCAGGTTTGATCCCCAGTTAGGGAGCACATAGGATGTAATTTGATCAGTGTTTCTGTTCTCTCATTGATGTTTTTCTTTCTCCTCTCTAATCATGTCCTTAGGTGGGGATTAAAAGAAAAAACAAAACAAGAAATCCAATCTAGCTATGTTCAAATATAATAAATTGTATTGCCATAATAAGAGAACATCCTTAAAATATGAAAAAGTAAAGAGCGCACAGAATTTTATAAACTTTTACTCACAATACTGCATAATAAATGTGATAACTTTTTCAATGTTTCTTCTGTTCTTTTCTTAGATGTGCTTTTTCTTTTAGCTTTTCAAGGTCTTGTCACAAAGAGCTTTAATCACATTTTATTGTCAAGATAAATGCACTTTTTTTAAAAGAAATACTAAGTACTTTAAATATGCTGAAAAAGTAGAAGGGCAAGTTTAGAACTATAATCTAGGAAATAATACATCCAGGTTCAGCCCTGAAAACTGGTCTTTCATAAGTGAAGGTCAACTAGAACATAACTGACTTTCACAGTTTTATCATTATTAATTATTCTTCAGGTTAGTACTAATGTTACAAATCAGGCCTAGTTAGGCAACTTTTCATTTTGACTCACTGGGTTTTATACAAAATGCTTTAGGAGAAAGTTTTAATAAAACACTGTATAAAATATTAATTTTCTATAGCTTATAGTCTTAGCTTTAAAGGTTTTCTATTACTAAAGGTAAAAGTAATCCTATAACCCAAAGATGCAATTTGTGAATCCTATTTCATTAAGTCATTGCCATTCTTACTATTAAATACTGCCAGAATTCAGGAAAGACAAGTAAAGAAGCCATGCCTCACTTGCTGCAGAGGTCTTTAGGCACTCGGTTGGCTATAAGAATACATCTTCACTTACCCTTTCTCTGTAACTATTTCTCAATATATGGGTCACATATAATCTGAAAAACTCAAATAACAAATGTACATTTTAAAAAATGTAAAATCAAAAAATCCCTAATCCAATTTAATCTCAATCAGATATTTAAATTTTGCTATAGAATAATTTTGGTAAAGCAATATTGTACTTAATTCCCAATCCAAAATTCCTTTCATATACATATCCTAAATTAACTATCTTTGAGATGTAGAATTTGTTACAACATATTATGTGCAAAATAACTCTTAACCACAAAACTTGAAACAACTGCTGCATTTAAAATCAAGCAACATCCAATACTCCAGCAGCCACAAGCTGCCGTGAGAGCCAGTCCAACCCTTCGTATAGTCCCATCCCACTTCGAGCATCACAGCCCTGGATATACCAGCTACGGCCACAGCACAGTTTATGAAGACTGAGAAGTTCAGTGATTTCTTCTACTGAAAGGGCTCCAGCAACATCCTGAAAGATATATGCACATCAGAATTTCTTAAAAATCAGTTAATATTGACCATCAATGTCATCATCATTTTTAAAATTATTACCATTTATAAAGAATTCTATTGGTACCATTCTAACCATTCACCTTTCAGTAATTATTCTGAGATTAATAAAACTAGAAAAAAAAGAGTTTTGGTTAAAATCATTTACTTACTTGTATTATATATTGTTTATATAGCAGCTTTACAATGAAATCAATAAAAGCCATGCAGCCTGAATGATACTGTCTGAGTCATTATAAGGCATCAATTTAAAAGAAAAATTAATGTGTATATATTTTTAAATTCGCTTATACATAGGGTTTACAAAATGAAGGGTTTATTAAACTATTCAGAATACTCGAACATCCCTACTTCCCAGAAGAGTCCACCAGTAATATTCTCATATTTTTCCAGAAAATTTCCATGCACATTTGTACAAATAAACACAAATAGGAACATACTCTAATTTTGTTATTTACTTAACATGCATGTTGAATATAGATAGCTTTCTATTATCAAGGACAAACAGATTTTCCACATTAATTTTAACATGTGAATTGCATTCCACTGTGCAGGTGCAACATCATTTTCTTTACCAGTCCTATACCAAATGTTCCAATCCTGTAAGAAGTTGTGTGCTTATGTGCTATTACAAATACATACATATTTTTTACATACATTTGCAAAAGTATCTGTGGAATAATCTTAGGATATCTGTCTGCAGGATATATTACTAGAGGTATAATTACAGAGGGTATATGCATTTCCCCCTAAGAAAATGTCTCAGTTTAATAACCACAGCATAGTGTATGTAAGTCTTATGATTATCAAAGATTTTTGTCTTTCACAATGTGATAATTGGAGAATGGTATTTTACTTTGTCTTATTTGTATGTCTTTAATCATAAGTACAAAAAAGAGTATCAGCTTACTTTTGGCCATTTTTTAATTAGGGGGAAATCCTATATTCCTCATCGTACTCCTCCTTATGACATCTAAGCCACTCTGTGGCACTTAAAACCATTTTGATGCTCCTAGAAACTTATGGTCAAGATCTAGAAATTTGCTGTTCCCTGTCCTTCATCCTCCCCTTTCAATCACCAAATTCTAACAATTCTACCATCATATAGTATCTTCAATCTGCTTCCACCTATCTATTCCTCTAAATAGGGATCTTGTTAAATCTCTCACTTGAATTACTGCAGCAATTTACTGCATCTTCCTGTCTCTAGTCCCTTACCCTTGATTAATTCTACATCCTACCACCAGGGTGATGTTATCTTACAACCAACTAATCCAAAAACCTTTTGATGGCTCTCCTTTCCTCACAGAATAAAACCTACATATCTCAGTATGGTCCTGTCAGGCCTTCCTTCACAATGTGGCCTCATCTGTTATTCTAGATTTTCTTCATCCTCTACCTGCTCCTCACATACAAGTCCACTAGATGCTCCCTAAAAATACGAATGCTTTTATTTTCTCTGCCTACCATATTCTTGCCTTCACATACTGATTCAAAGACTTATCCATAATTTCAACTTATAATTTCAACCAAAATCCTACTTTTTTACCAATTTTAGAAGATGTCACCTTCAGAACTACTCTCTAACTTGACATTTTGTTAACATTATTGAAGTTACTTACCAGTTTTCTTTGTATTAGAATGTCATATATATTCACTTACATGTTTACTTACATACACTGGAGTTTCAGAGAACATCAGCTGACTTCTTTTTGAATACTCCAAGGAATGAAGCACAGAATTTGTACTTTCCACATAGATTGCATTCAGAATATTTAGCAGAAACTTCATAAATATCTACTAATTATTTCTCTTTTGAAATATTTCTAGCTACCTTATGATATGAATACACAAAATTACTAAAATAACTATTCTGAAATGCAAATGTGTTACCTGTTTGTTAGCAAAAATCAGAAGCAAAGCATCTCGGAGTTCTTTTTCTGTTAACAACTTCGCAAGCTCACTGTGTGCTTCATTAACTCTGTCTCTATGACTGCTATCAACAACAAATACAACAGCTACCAACAAAATGACAAAAATTTCAGTTAGTCACCTGCTAAGTTTCAGTAAATGGACAAAATATTTAATGCTCTCATTATATTATGGGTAGTTTACCATTATTTTAATGGAAAGGCTGCTTATTATTATAGGAGCGATAATTAATGGTATGATCTCAAATAGGTCACATAACTTTTCAGCTTTCATTTCCCCATCCATAACAAGATTTACACTTGCTCTACCAATTAATATTTCCTCTTAATGAATGAAAATGTACCCCTCATGATCTACCTATTGATGCTACATATTTGTTGATTAGTACTTCTTTTACAAAAAGAGATTCCTTTAAAAATAAATCACCATCTTTATCTCTCCGAAGTACTCTTTCTAGACACCTAGCACAGCACTTTCCAGCAGAAACTTGATAAATATCTATTGAATGAATACTTTTTAGAAATCTTTCCAGCTAATTTATGGTAGCTAAACATATTCAGACATGTAACCATTCCTCATGATCAAAATTCCTTTTTTCTCCATTAATCATTGGCTCATATTAAATATCAAAAATCCCAAAGTAAACATAATTATCTAATCTCTCTTCTAGGTGGAAAGTGGGATGACGTATGGAACAGGTGGCATAAACATAAGCTTTATATTGGGATATAGGAGGCAAAAGTTAGAATGGAGCCCAACTGTGAATAAGTGCTGGATGGAATGTATGTGACGTATCAGAGTTTGGTCTGAAGCAAACCACTACAGGTTCTTCTGCAGATAACAAATGTGAATGAAATGGAGCTTTTAAGATATTATAATGGGATAAATGTTTAATTAAATTGAACCGTATAACGATACACCACAAATTCTACTATACTCCACAATACTGCCAGTGATCATACTCATGACACTAATAATTTAACTGTTAAGAGCAGTACTCATAACAGCGCACATATACAAGCTAAGTATTGTTTTTATGCTATAATTATTCCAGTCTTTCCACCTTCATTTTTTTAATAATGTGGGGCTGGCCACCAATATTTAAAGGCATAATCGATATTTAATAAATGCTTAAATATCAGCTTTACTATTTAAATCAATATACTGAAAACTGGCATCCTAAAAATCTGAAAAATCACGATGTCATTTTTTTCTCTTACCTTGTGTATTCAGGTAATAATGTTTCCACAATGGTCTTAATTTGTGTTTTCCACCTACATCCCAAATAGTGAACTTTAGATTTTTATATTCTACAGTTTCCACATTAAAACCTGAATTTAAAAAAAAAGTTACTTTAATACTGAACTTATATTTACAGTGACACACCACACACAAGGCAACTCCCTGTTTATAACTGTGACTTACAATTATCTTCACACAGCAATATCTATTGCTGCCCAACCAACTCCACTCCTAATCAACCTATGTGGGGAATGTATACCTTTATCAGTTATTAGACCCCTAAAGCTGGGTCTTTAGGACCTTAAAACACAAGTACCTGCCAACTCCACACCACTACCACCCCCTCACCCTTAACCCTCAACAAGGTCACCAATCATTTATTCCTTCCGCCTGTCCCACCAAAATTCTGTTCCTTCTTATTATCCCACCATCCACGTTTCAATCCAATCCTACAGCCACTGAATCTCGCATTTTTCCTCTGAAATGCTGGTGTCTTACAGCCAGAAAAAAAAGCCCAGCTCCATGACAGACTGGTATATTATAAGATCCCAAAAGCTCAGCTGTAAGCTAGGGTTTGTTAAGGTAAGAAGCAATACTCATACTTACCGATTGTTGGAATAGGTTGCATAAACTCATCCTGTTTTAACTTAAACAAAATAGTAGTTTTTCCGGCACCATCTAATCCTAATGTAACAACTCGAATTTCCATTTTTGGTCCGATGTGAACTCTATTGTCCTATAATTTCAAAAATATTTTCATCTTTTAATTTTGACATAGTGTTAGAAAGCATTAAGATTTATACTTTTATTTATAAAATGTCACTGTTGATTACTGTCCTTTCTCCTATTCTTTCCTCAATCACTGAAATCTGATCTGAAAGAGAAGAGTCACTCCTTAATGCCACAGCCTTTACTAAAACTGACTACTTTGTTTTTTTGTAAATTAAAAATGTATGTATCCACCTAATTTCTCCAGATTTTTTTTAGCTCAACTGAATCTTCTAAGGGTTTTTATGCTGTGTTAAATATGTTAGTAAATATATTAATTAAAAATGAAAATTGCTGCTCACTTCCCAGAAATATACAGTTAACAATTTCATATATATCCCACCAGACACTTTCCTATGAACATACTGGTTGATATACACAAACAAAACAAATATACTTTTGTTTGTTTGTTTGTTTACCCTCATCTGAAAATACATGTTCCACTGATTTTTCAGAGAGAGTGGAAGAGAAGAGGAGGGGAGGTAAAGTGAGAGAGAACATCGATGTGAAAGAAACACATCGACTGATTGCCTCCCACACGTGCCCTGACCCAGATACGTGCCCTGGGCCAGAAATCTACCCTGCAACCCTTTGGTGCGAGGGCCGATGCTCTTACCACTTAGAATCACTGGCCGAGGCAAAACAAATATGTATTTTTTAAATTTTTTTTCTTCACTTCAGAGAGGAAGAGAGAGGGAGAGAGAGAGAAACATCAATGATGAGAGAACCATTGATCGCTGCCTCATGCATGACCCCCACTGGGGATCAAGCCCACAACCCCGTCATGTGTCCTGACTTGGCAACTGAACTGTGACCTCCTGGTTCATAGGTCCACGCTCAACCACTGTGCCACACCAGCCAAGCCAAGAATATATTTTAAAAAGATAAATTTAAAAAAACAAACATACACTCAACTAACTTTTATACTCAACAGTATATTATGGAATAATTTCATTTCAAAACATAAAGGCCTGCCCTTTTCTTTCAATTACTTTGTTATATTCCATGAGCCAAGATTTAACCAATCCCCAACTGACAGATGTTAGATCATCTCTGAATTTATCATAACGAACAACATTCTTGCAATGAGTGTACATATTACTAGCTGCATGATCTCTCTGCCTCATTTCCCTCATCTATAAATTCAGGATTAAAATAGTACCAACTTACACAATTTTTACAAGGATTATTTTTTAAAACACGTATAAAGTCCTTACAACAGCTCCTAAATAATTTTCGGTAACTATTATTTTGCCTCCTCGTTTTAGCACTCTTCTTTTATGATACACATTGTCCTGGTTTTTATCCCACCTTTTTGGATGCTCCCTCCCATTTTCCTTTAGTCTACCTTTGTAATATTGGTGTACTTGAGAGTATATATGAGGTGTGTTTCTTATTTACATAGTCTCATTTACTCCATGTGCTTCAGTTACCATCTTTATGATGATGGCTCCTAAATATACACTTCCGTACAGTCCTACACTTCAGAAATAAAATGATATATGAACCAGATTATCTTTGTGAGAATTCTAGAAACCAGTTGTGAAGTTAAACACCCAGGGCAACAAAAAATGAAAAAGGGATTCCAACAAAAGAGGTAAGGAAATTGACAGAATTCTGCACACCCATGTATGCCCCTGCCTAACCTGGAATGGCACAATGCAACTAAAAGGAAAACGCCTATACCAGGACAGAAACATAAGGTTTTACTGAGCATCCAGTGTTCTGGCTCATCTGGGGTCTGCCTTAGATAGAGACCGGGGACTGTCTCACCCAACTTGAACCTCTTGGGCACAACCAACGGCACAATTTGAAAGCCACTAGAAACAGAGGCAAGGACATGGCACATTAGAACTCCTGCTGTGCAGGGAGAATAAGAGATTATTGGCTTCTGAAAAAATGCAGAGGCAAGCTGCTTCAGGAATTCAAGGCAACTAAAGCACACACGCAAACCCAGACACGATAAACCCCAGAAAAGGTTTGAGAATTCTAGAATCTCTAGCTGGCGAAGGTCTTTCCAGGCTCAAAGCCAGTTCATAAAGATTGGAGAGGTAGTTGTTTTTTCAAATGCTCAAATCTCAACAAAAATAGGACAAGGCATAAAAGAAACAGGAAAACATAACCCAATCAAAGGAATAAATAAAATTCCAAAAATTGACCCTGAAAATTCAGATCTATGAGTTGCCAAAGAACTTAAAAAACCTGTAATAGAGATACTTAAGAAGTTAAAAGAAACACAGACAATAAATAAAATCAGGAAAACAAAGAACAGGCAAATTAGAATATCAACAGAGATAGAAATTTTTTAAAAGAACTAAAATTCTGGAGATGAAAATATAATAACTGCACTGAAAAAGTTCACTAGAGGGTTTCAAAAGTATACTTCATCAGGCAAAAGACAGAATCACCAAACTTGAAGATATGTCATTTGAAATCAAGTGAGAGGAGAAAAAAAAAAAAAAAAACGAGTGAAGAAAGACTAAGGGATTTATGGGACACCAGCAAGGAGATCAACACTTGTGAGAGTCCCAGAAAGAGAAGAGATAAAGAAAGGGGCAGAGAGAGCTTACCTGAAGAAATAATGGTTGAATACTTCCCAATCTGAGGAGAGAAATGGACATAAAAATTCTAACTCAATGCATCCAAACTAGGATAAACCTAAAGAAACCCACACTGAGACACATTATAATCAAACTGTCAAAAATCATAGACAAAGAGAGAATCTTAAAAGCAGCAAGAGAAAAAAGGCTCATCACATACAAGGGAGCTTCCATAAGATTACCAGCTGATTTCTCAGCAGAAAGTTTGGGATCCAGAAAGGAGTGGGAGAATATATTCAAAGTGCTGAAAGAAATAAAACAAAACTGTCAGGACAGACTGACAGTTGTCAGAGGGGAGGGAATTGGGTAACTGTGTGAAAAAGGTGAAGGGATTAAGCAGTACAAATTGGTATTTATGGACTAATCACATAGATATAGATTCCAGCATAGGGAATATAGTCAATAATATCTTGGTAAATATATATGGGGCCAGGTGGGTACCTGAAGCATCAGGGGGATTACTCTGTAAAATACATAAGTGTCTAACCATTGTCCTATACATCTGAAACTAACACAGAATAATACTGAATATAAACTGTAATTTAAAAACAATTTTTAAAAAAGAAAAAAGCTGTCAACAATGAATGCTATAATGCCAAAACTGTCCTTCAAAAAGGAAGGAAAAAATAACTTTCCCAGAAAAGCAAAAGCTGAGGGAGTCATTACCACTAAACATGAACAAATAGTAATCTGTACTGTTGAAAGTTTGGTGCATAAATTTAATTTTTATAGACTTGAAATAACAAAAACATTTTATACGCCTGAAACCAATAGAAAATAATAGTGAATGTAAACTGTAATTGAAAATTTTTTAACTGTAAGCCTCTGTTAATAGGTATACAGTATATAAAAATGTATTTTGTGACATCATTAACAAAGTGTGGGGGATGAAATAGGTATGCAATTGAAGTTAAAGCGTTAACATTTAAAATAGAGTGTTAGAACTAATATGTTTTATGTAATTACAATGGTAAACACACAAAGAAAACCTCCATAAAATATAAACAAAAAGAAATGAGAAGGAAATCAAACCATGTCACTACAAAACAATACAGTAAGAGAGGAGAGACAAAAAAGCTACATGATATATAGAAAACAATGAAGAGAATGGCAATAGTAAGTCCTTACTTATCAATAATTATTTTAAATATTAATGGATTTAGCTCCCCAATCAAAAGACATAGTTTGACTATATGGATAAAAAGACAAGATTAAAAAAAAGAAGAAAAAACAAGATCCAACAATAGGCTATCTACAAGTGACTCACTTTACATCTAAGGACATATATAGGTTCAAAGTGAAAGGATGGAAAAACATATTCCATGCAAATCATACCCAAAAGAGGAGGGATGGCTATCCTATCAGACAATGGACTTTAAGTCAGAAACCATAATAAGAGATACAGAAGGTCCTTATATGACTAGAGGCTCGGTGCACAAAATTAGCACATGGGTGAGGTCCCCAGGCCTAGCTGGCAATCGAAGCACGGGCATCTAGCATGGACGGGCAGGTCCCAGCTGACCTCTGGGCCCTGGGCAGCACCGGATCCCAGGCTCCTGCACGCCCCCCTCCGCCTGAGTCACAGCACCGGCACCTGAGCCCCCACGCGGAGATGCAGTGAGCCGGCTAGACGCCGCAGGCCAGGGCACCGCGTGGGCCTCTGGGCCACCCAGCAGCACCACACGGAAGCCAGGCGGACAGCATGCTCTTTCCTGGCTGGCCTGTTGGACAGCTCCTGCATGAACCCATGGGGAGCCCAGCTGGCCCCTGAGATCCTAGTGGCTGTGGCCTGGCTCAACCGGAAGCGGCCATGTGGGGGCTTCTCCGGTGCGTGAGCCCTGGCATCCGGGGGGAAGGCAGCAGGTGGAGTGAGAACAAGCTCAGCAGACACCCAGCATTCTCACTGCACCTCCGTCCCCATCACCCCCACCCACAGGTAGTTTGCGAAAGGTCGCAGCCCCCCGCCTGGGCACCACAGGAGGTTGGTCACTGCCCCCTGATGGTCAGAGCATGTCATAGCAAGCAGTCGAACTCCCGGTGGAACAACTGCCAGAGAAAACAACTGCATATTAGGCTTTTATTAATTACCTACACTAATAAAAGACAAATATGCTAATTGACCATACCTTCGCTACATCCATCAGTCAATCAGAAGAGTATGCAAATTAACCCAACAAAGATGGCCACTAAATTTGCATACTGCAGGCGGGGCAGGGCAGTGCCATCCGCTGCCCACCCCAACCCCAGATTGGGCCTGCTGTGTGCACGACACGGAGAGGCGCCCCAACCCTGGGATCAGGCCTGCTGTGTGTGCGACCAGGGGCGGCAGGGCGCAGCAGCACCATCTGCCACCCACCCCAACTCTGGGAAAGGGCCTGCCGTGTGCGCGACCCGGGGTGGCGGGGCAGGCACCGCGGGATCGAGCCTGCCATCTGCCACCCGGGGAGCGGGCCTAAGCCAGCAGGTGGTTATCTCCTGAGGGGTCTCAGACTGTGAGAGGACACAGGTCGGGCTGAGGGACACCCTCCACACACCAGTGCACAAATTTTTGTGCACCGGGCCTCTAGTTTAGGATAAAAGGGTAAATTTACAAAGAAGACATACAATTATAAATAGTTGGATTATAAATATATAAATTAAAGCCAAAACATGAGATCTAAAATTATAAGCTCCTAGAAGAAAACATGGGATAAAAGTTTCATGACATTGGATTTCAGAATGATTTCCTCAATATGACACCAAAGTACGGTCAGCAAAAGCAAAACAGACAAATGGGACTGTATCAATCTTAAAAACTTTTATGAATCAAAGAACACAGTTAACAGAATGAAGCAACAGCCTAGGTATTGGGAGAAACTATTTGCAAATCATATACCTGATAATGGATTCATATCCAGAACATATAAAGAACTCCTACAACTCAACAACAAAATATCAAATTACTCAATTAAAAAACAGGTAAAGGACTTACACAAAATTTCTCCAAAGAAGATATAAGATGGCCAGAAAATATGAAAAGATGTTCATCATTACTAATCATCAGAGAAATGCAAATTAAAACCACAATGAGATATCACTTCATGCCCATTAAGACAGCTACTATTAAAAAAATAAAAAATACCAACCCCCCCAAACCAAACACCAAAGAGTAGAAAGTGTTGGTAAAAATGTAGAGAAATTACTGCTGGTGGGATTATAATATGGTGCAAACACTATGGAAAACAGTATGGCACTTTCTCAGAAAATAAAAAATTGAACTACCATCCAGTAATCTCATGGCTGGATATACATATCCAAAAAAATTGAAAGCGAGGTCTCTAAGAAATAGTTGCACACCTATGTTCACAACAGTATTATTCACAATAGCTAAGCGGTGGAAGTAAAAATAATGTCTTTCAATGGATAAATGGATAAACAAAAGGTGGTATAAGCAAACAATTCTGTCACATTGTAACTGTGAGGGCATTGTGCTATATAAAATAAGCCTGTCACAAAAAGATAAATAATGTATGATTCCACTTACATGAAGAGTTTAGAGTAGTCAAATTCAAAGAAACAGAAAGTTATCATGAGCTGGTAAGGTAGGAGAAAAGGGAAGTTATTGTTTATAAGGCACAGAGTTTCAGTTTTGGAAGATGGAAAAATTTCTGGAAATTTGATCCACACAATGTGAATATACTTAACAATATTAAATTGTACATTTAAAAATGGTTAAGATGGTAAATTTTTATTATTATTTTTTTTACCACAATAAAAAAAAGTGGCACATCCTCACAATAAAGTATCTTGCAGTTATTAAAAGAAACAAAAAAATGTCACTGTATACTGCCATGGAGTGTTCTCCAGGACATAACACTTAAGTGAAAAGGGCAAGGTGGAGAAATGTATAAGGTATTCTACCTTTAAATGCAGGGAGTGTGCAGGTAAGTATATAAAAATTTCCTCTATTTTCAAATGATGAATAAAACTCAGAAAAAATTCTTAATAGTTTTATATGGGGAATGGTGGAGATGGTAGGGGAGTCGGGGATAGAAGCTAGGCTGCTCTATGTGAACCTTGCTTTATAGTTTACAGATTGGACTCTGAACATTTGTGTGAAAAATTGAACTACCATACAAGCCAGTAATCTCATGACTGGAGATATATACGTATAATGTTTTACACAATTATAAAATAGTATTAAATTTTTTAAAAAATATACATTTTGCCCTGACCAGTTTGGCTCAGTGGATAGAGTGTCGGCCTGCGGACTTAGGGCTCTATCCACTGAGCCAAACCGGGTAGGGCATATTAAATTTTTTTAAAAGTCCCTAAAAACAGCCCTATCTGGTTTGGCTCAGTAGATAGAGCATCAGCCTGTGGACTGAAGGGTCCCGGGTTCGATTCCGGTCAAGGGCACACACCCGGGTTGCGGGCTCAATCCCCAGTAGGGGGCATGCAGGAGGCAGCGATCAATGATAATCTCTCATCACTGATGTTTCTATCTCTCTCTTCCTCTCCCTTCCTCTCTGAAATCAATAAAAATGTATTTAAAAAAAAAAAGTCCCTAAAAAGAGAAAGCAAAATGGAACACATGCACGTTTTTAAATTAGGGGAATCTACTTTAAAACAGACTAAAATATATCAAACAAGTACAGGATTCTGCCTCAAAAAAAAAGCAACTTAAAAATTTTTTAACAGTCTGGGAGATCTGAATACTCACTGGATAATGAATAATATTAAAGATCTATTGTTACATTTTTTAGGTGAGATAACAGTTTTTGTTATGTTTTTTAAGAGTCCTTACTTTTTAGAATTACATCTGAAAATATTTTGTAGATGAAATTATATGACGTTGGGATGAAATATGTTGGGATTTATTTCAAAATAACTTGGGAGCCTGCAGACAGAAAAGGGAATGGGGAAAGGAGAGATGAAATTTAAAAGTTTTTCATTGTTTTGTTTTGTTTTTAATATATTTTATTGATTTTTTACAGAGAGGAAGGGAGAGGGATAGAGAGTTAGAAACATTGATGAGAGAGAAACATCGATCAGCTGCCTCCTGCACGCCCCCCACTGGGGATGTGCTTGCAACCAAGATAGATGCCCTTGACCGGAATCGAACCCGGGACCCTTGAGTCCGCAGGTCGACGCTCTATCCACTGAGCCAAACCGGTTCTGGCTAAAAGTTTTTCATTGTTAAAGTGAGTGTTGGGTACAAGGAGATTCCTTATACCCCTTTCTATTTTTCACTAATAGATTTTTTTAATCCTATGATTTATGAATTTCTTAGTTGTCTTTTCAAGCTGATTACCATGGAATTTAAGCAACAATGATTCATCAGAAAAGAAACCTAAAGTGCGGTACAGTACATTACCTTCGTAAAAGTGACAGGGATGCTGGCATCCAACTGAATGTGATCTGCAACCTCTGTAAACTGCTGCTGCTGCTTCTGCAATGTTTCCAGTAACCTTGTAATTTCTTGTTTTGCCAAGACAACTCTACAATCATCCTAGGAAAAAGAAGACAGTATTCTTATAAACATGTTAAAAAAGAGATATTATCAAAACTCAAAAAAAAATCAGTTAACATTACAGTATTCAAAGTTAACCTAAGTGTAAATTTGACTAGGATAAAAATAATCAGGCATTAATAAAGAATTTGAGAACCTATCAACAGAAGAATGAATAAATTGTGGTATATAATTCACACATGCAACATTATATACCACTATGAGAATGAACCACAATTACATGTGCTATGAATCTTATAAACATAATGTAGTGTATAAGAAGAAATAACATAAAGAGTTCATACTGTATGATTACATTACCAAAACAGGCAAAAATAAGAAATGCATTAGAAGTCAGTATAGTAGTTTATCCTTGGGGAAAGGGCTAGTAGTTACCAGCAGGAAGTCTGAGGGATTTCTGGGAGCTGGTAATGGTCTGTTACTTGGTCTGAATGCTGGTTATACAGTAATGCCCTGTCTGAAAATTCAGCCAGCTGAACACTTAGGAACACAGTTCTTTATGTATGTTGTACTTCTATAAAACGTTTTTAAAATAATATAAGATATACATGTATTGGTAAAAAAAAAAAGAAAAAAGAAAGAAAGAAAGAAAAAGAAAGGACTTCACATCAGATTGTGAAAAGCCTCACTCTAGATCCCCAGGCTCTCTTCAAAGTCAAACACTTTCTAGTTTCTCAATTGTTATTCCAGATATTCTATACATGTGCCAATATATTCTTCAAAAGACAGAGATGTCCCAAAAATATGTATGTTCCATGACAGCAGTGGTGTTATCAGTTTTTATTCACTATTGCATATTCATATTAGTTGATGGGAATTCCATTATTCCAGTGGCTCAGAACAAAAAACTTGAAGTCACTCTTGCCTTCTCCTCCCAAATAACCCACAACAACCAGTCAACAAATCCTACTGGATACCCAGAATCTGGGCATTTCTACCTGCTACTAACCTAGACACTATTCTCTCTCACTTGGAATTCTACAGCAGCCTCCTAAGCATTGAACTCCTTCCTTCTACCTTTGCCCCCACTTCAATCTATTTTTTACACATTATCCAGAGTGATCCTTTGAACATGTAAGATCAAGTCATTTTTATGCTCAAAACCCCATTTCAATCAGAAAAAGCTCAAGTCCTTCCAATGGCCCAAAGCCTTCCTTACATATAATCCATATGACCTCTCATTTCAGCTTCCATTATTCCCTCCTTTGCTTACTCCATTCCAGCCACAATGGTCTTTTTTGCTGTTCCTCAAACACACTAGGCATGCTGCCTCTAACCATTTCCTCAGCTGGAATGCTCTTCCTCCCAAAAGGACTTTACCTAATTCCTTCACCTCCTTCCTCTCTGAGTTCTTGCTCAAGTCTTATCTTCTCTCAATGATGTTTACCCTATTTATTTATTTGTCCTCACCTGAGAATGTCCTCAGAAAGAGGGAGGGAGGGAGAGAGAGAGGAGCATCAATGTGAGAAATATAGATTGGTTGCCTTCCCTACGTGCCCCAACCAGGGATCAAACCCGTAACCCATGTATGTATGTGCCCTGTGAACCTAACTAGCAGCATTTCAGTGCACAGGATGACGCTCAACCAACTGAACCACTCCGACCAGGCTACCCTGACTATTTAATAAGGCAATCTGCTGTACCTCCACACTTTCTCTTTTTTCCTTAGCTCACTTTTTCATATCCTATATAATTTACTTATTTAGATATGTTATGGTTTATTACCCATCTTCTTGCTAGAATGCCAATTCCACAAGATTATGGCTTTTTGCTTGTTTTGTTTACTGATATATCCTATGTATCTGGAATGTACATGCATATACTAGGCACTCAATACATATTTGCTAAATCAATAGATAAATCCTCACCATTTAGCAAAGTATATCATATGCAAACTGGGTAACAAATGCCTTTTAATACCTCAACTATCAAAAAACATAGCTTTTCTGCCCTAACCAGTTTGGCTCAGAGGATAGAGCGTCGGCCCAAGGACTGAAGAAGGGTTCGGGGTTCAATTCTGGTCAAGAACATGTCCCTTGGTTGAAGGCTTGATCCCCAATAAGGGGCGTGCAGGGGGCAGCTGATCGATGTTTCTCTCTCATCAATGTTTCTAAGTCTCTATCCCTCTCCCTTCCTCTTTGTAAAAATCAATATATTTTTTTAAAAAATAGCTTTTCTGTGACATCAAAGTTAAGAACCACTAAATTAGAGCTAGAGAGGTACCCCCCAAAAAGAGCAAGGACGAGAGACTTCAAAGATTAGCAGACATTTCAGCTAGACTTTGAAGGAGGATTTCCACTAGCAACAAAGGGAGATATAAACCTGCCAAGCAGAAGGAATAGTACATGGTTGGCAAAGAAGAGTAAAGGCCTTGGCATGACTGCGGAATGACAGAGCCAGAAGTTCTAGAACCCAGGGTTTTATGGTGGGGAGGGCACATGAAGAAGAGGACACTGATTTGTTGGTGGAGCAACTGGAGGTTATAGAGACCATGTCCTAAGTACAACATTAATGAATGCAATAACATATAATAATATAAAAATATTTATTAAAGTAATAAAATAGACTAGTGTGTACCTCTGGTAATTATCTACTTAACCTTAAAAATTCTTCTCCTTAAACTATAACCTTCCTATGTTTAAACTGCCTACCTGTTGCAAAGTCTTTTCACAATGGAGACAGGCTGTTGAAACCTGGGACAGCAAAATAGTCATATCTTCTTGTTGTTGCCTGAGCCAAATCAATTTTTCTCGAACATGAGCATCGACAACACTTAAAGCCATTTCTTCTTGACGACACAGAGTTTCATGTAGATCAGAAAAATAAGCTCGAACACATGACCGGGCATTCTCCGCAGTACCCGGTACCTAAGAAAATAAAAATAAAGTTTAAGCAACTCTAACTATAACAAAGATTGTATATGTGAAATATGAAAATTTAAATACCATCTATATCCTTAAAAATTCTAAAATTTGTATCTTCACCACGGCCTTTGGATACCCAACTGTTTAAATGACATCTCAAAAGCAAAAGAGTCTCTCTTCTCCAAAATCCAGTTTCCTCCATCTCAATAAATGGCAACTCCATCCTCCAGATTGTTCAAGACAAAAAAATTGAAACCATCTCTAACATTTTGTTCGTGTCCCACAATTAGCCCTCAGCAAATTCTCTGGACTCCAGAATATATACAAAATATAATCATGCCTCATCACCTCCACCTCTTATCAACCTGACCCAAGCTATTATCATGTCTCACCTGATTATTATAATAGTCTTCTAATTGGTCTTACTATATCTGCCACTGCACACTACCATGTATTCTCCACCCAGCAGCCAGAATGATCTGCTTAAAATGGTAAGTCAAAAGATATTCTTTTCCCCAAATTCTTCATTCCCCTCAGAGTGAATGCCCACCTCCTCTCTGTATGGTGTGTTCAAGGACAGACTCACTGAGAAAAGGGTGCCTGAACAAAGACCTGAGGAGGCAAGAGAAGAGCATTCCTGGCAGACAGAAGAGCGAGCGCCTCTAAGGCCAATTCTGCCTCACCCCCCCCCCCCCCCCCCCCCCCCCGTCACTCTACTCCAGGTGCACGTAGCCTCCCACAGTTTCATGGCACACCGTGCACATTCCAACCTCAGGGCCCTTGCCACTTACTTTCCTCGTCCTGGAATACTCTTCCCCCAGGTATTTTCATAGTTCCCTTTCTCATCTCTTGTAGGTCTTTGCTCAATGTCACCTTCTCAGGGAATGGGTCCTCAAATAGAAATCTAGGTCTCATGCCTGGCCCTCCAAGTCAGCTATTCAAGTCAGCTATACTAATCACTAAGAACTAACTATTCAACTTCAAAATCTTAAATTCATCTACTTCTCTCCATTCTCACTACTTTAGTGAATATTGGTCATAAAGCATCTCTCAACTGGATAATTTCAGCAACTGCTAATAGGTTTCCAGCGTCCAATCTTGTTGCTACTACAATTCATTTTCTACGTTGAAGAGCAACTTTTCTTTTTTCCTGTTGTAAATTCTCACCCAAGGATATTTTTTCTATTGACTTTTAGAGAGAAGGGAGGGGAAGAGACAGAGAGAAACTCCGATGTGAGAGAGACACACCGATTGGTTGCCTCCCAGACATGCCCCAACCAATGTTGGGGATCAAACCTGCAACTGAGGTACCTGCCCATGACCAGAATCGAACCTGCAACCCTTCATTCGAAGGGTATCACTGTAAGCCAGCCAGAGAAAGATAAATATCACATGATCTCACTCATATGTGGGATATAATGATCAACATAATTTGGTCAACAAGAATAGATCCAGAGACAAATGGTAGGGGAGGCGGGCGGTTAGAGAGCAACCAAAGGACTTCTATGCATGCAAATTAGAATAACCAATGGACACAGACACTCTGGGCTGTGGGGGCTTGCCCAGGTGGGAATGGCTAGGGGAGGGAGGGGGTCAATTGGGGGAAAAGGAGACATATATAAAACTTTAGACAATAAATAAATAATAAATTTAAAAAGAAATTATTTCATGATTAGTTCAGTATAATTGCTCAATAAATAATAGAAGGTGAAAGGTAAGAAAGAGAAAGAGTAAAAGGTAAAAAACAAATTTAAAAATCCATACATGTTCTGTGTGGGCCATTCCAATTCCATCTTCCACTATTTGTTCTCCTCCTTCAATGTGCTGAACGATTCCAACTAATTTTCTGGAATAATCTGAGATTTCCTCAGTGAAGGTCCGTATACAGTGAGCCATATCTAAAATTGAGGCTCGGATCTGGTTAGCTTCTGGTTCCAATACTGAATGCTATAAAATGCAACATTATAGAAAAAAACTTACAGTATTTGACTAATAATATAAAAAAATTACTTAAATCATTCCTATTAATTAAAAAAAACCTTCAACCACAAGTGGCTTTTTAAACACATTTTACAAAAGCAAGCATACAAAATGCTAATTTGCCTTCCCCCAATAACTATTTATCCTGCAACGCAATACTTTAAATTTTACAAATCAATTTCTCACTAACCAGGAACCCACAAGTATCTCTAAAATTTTATCACAGCAGTTCATCAATAGACATAAATATTATCAAAACAACCTAGTGCATTATGAAAACATACACTAAAGAAGAGAACTTTTGTTTCCTGCTGGAAAGCTATTTTCATTAAAGAAAGAATCATGATGCCTTGCTACTGAAATTTTTGTGATTCAGAAATTAAATCTTGTTTCTTTTCAGTCTACCGAACAAACGGTGGGCTGGCAGACTAGGTAAATCATCCAGTTTAATTATATTCATACCTTGTGACCTTGGTGTTTTCCATATTCTTTGCAGACACAGCACATGAGTGGGCTAGTTTGGCAGCCTTCTTCCAAGCAAACAAACTCAATGGCATGCACCTGATGCTGAGAGCACATGGTTTTCTCATGAGGTTTATCAGCGAGAGGCACTCGCCTGTGCTTTGCTAATGTCTTCGTAGAATGAGTAACTTGGGAACACTCTGAGCACAAGTGAGTTGCACATACAGTGCAATATACAGATGCAACGTGAGCTTCATCTTCATCACAACGAATGATGCTCTGATAAAAACAAATTAATGTCTTTGAGTCTAAGACTTAGACTGAACTCCAATCACTATAGCATGACAAATTTTGAAACATAAAAGCCTATAATCTTTTTAAAAAATAATTAATCAGCCTTTTTATATGAAAATACACTGGTAATTAGTACAAAGGTCATTCACTACTCATCTGAGAAAGTATTCATTTCTATGGGTGAGAAGCTATTCCCAAAATTGGTTAACAACATATGCTAAATTACTCGAGGCCAAATATAAAACTATTCTCATAAATTCACAGTCAGAGTAAAGTTAACTACCACAAAATCCCTTTGCTTTATAAGAAAGAAACTGAATAGAGGTTAGAATTCTTTTTTTAAGACTAAAACCACTGATATTAAAAACATACCTACTGCTTTAGCCCTAGCTGGTTGGGCTCAGTGGATACACATTGGCCTTCGGACCAAAGGGTCCCAGGTTCGAGTCCAGCCAAGGGTAAGTACCTTGGTTGCAGGCTTCTCCCAGGCCCGGGTTCTGGTCAGGGCACATGAAGGAGGCAACCAATCCACGTGCTTCTCTCACATCAATGTTTTTCTCTGTCTTTTCCTCTCTCTTCCACTCTCTCTAAAAAAAAAAAAAAAAATAAATGGAGCCTTGGCCGGTTTGGCTCAGTGGATAGAGTGTCAGCCTGCGGACTGAGGGGTCCCAGGTTGATTCTGGCCAAGGGCACATGCCTGAGTTGTGGGTTCGATCCTCAGTAGGAGGTGTGCAGGAGGCAGCTGATTGATTCTCTCTCATCATTGATGTTTCTATCTCTCTCTCTCGCCCTTCCTCTCTGAAATCAATAAAGAAATATATATATTTTTTAAAAACCAATGGAAAAATATCCACGGGTAAGGATTAACAAAAAAAAACAAAACAAAACAAAATATACCCACTGCTTTAAATATTATCTGTCATACTGATAAACAGAAAGAAGAGAAGCACAATGCTATTTAGATAGCAAGGGGTGTGCATCAGAATTAGCTATAAAGCTTTTAAAACCATGGTGCCAAAAGGGGTTAATGAGGGGGGAAAGGGGACATATGTAATATTTTCAACAATAAAGATTTAAAAAGAATAATAATAAAAATAAAAAATAAAACCATGTTGCCAAGAATCCAACCTGGGAAATACTTAATAGGTTAGAGATGAAGCCTGAGTTTGTGTACTTTTCTCTAAAGTTTCACAGGTGAGTCCAATGCACAATTCTAGTTGAAAGCCACTGGTTTAAGCAAATGAACAATTAACACCTACGCTGTTAAGTATTAAGCTTTTAATATATGTGCTGCCGAAGTGAGCACATAAGTATTAAGCTTTTAAGTATTATTTCTAATTTCCATTAATTACTTAAAAGCTTCAAGTTGGAAAATTTTACATGTCAGATCACCAAGAAAGCTTGCAATTTTTTGCTGAATATTAAAAGGCCATAATTAGAAAGGGAGAGATTTGGTATAAAATTTTTCCAGAAATAAAAATTAGAAAATATACCAATTGTGTCACTCAATATCACAAATTTTAAAAAGCACACAAAGTTAGACAGCTTTGTTAGCAATTATGAGAAATACGTACATGTAAAATAAAAATTCATGTCTTCTGTTTTCAAGATCTGACAAGTAACTTACAAGGTCAACATTAGATAATACTCTAATGCAGTGGTTCTCAACCTTGGCTGCACATTAGAATCACCTGGGAATCTTTTTGAAATTTCATTGATTCTAATGTGCAGCCAAGGTTGAGAACTACGGCTCTGTCTTTTGAAATAAAGATAAAATCTAGAATGTGTGAAAGAACTGCAAAAATTTCAGAAAACACTGCTTCAGTTTGAAATTTATTTCAATGATTTACTTTAAAGAAATCATGATTTAATAAAAGAGAAGTGAAAATCATTTCGACTTCTTTTATCTTGATGTTAAACATGCTTTTAAAGCTGATCACCAAAATCAATAACTGCTATTTACTACAACTATTCTTATATCCAGAACAGCCTATGAGCTATGCAGGCAATTAATTCTGTAAGTGTTAAAATGTATTTTAATCTGTGTTCATGGACTTCTAATATTTCGGGATATCTACCTGTCTGGAAAAAGAGGATACACCTAAACGTAATTTAACCTTCTCATAAAGATATTTAATAGTAGTAATTCCCTCAGGAGCTAGTGCTATCTTTAAGGCATTTTGCTTCAATATTAAATAGCCTCCTTCATAGAGTTCCTCTTTCTTTTTTTTTCTTTCTCTCTCTCTCTCCTCTCTCTTTTCTCCTCTCTCTCTCTCTCTCTCTCTCTCTCTCTCTCTGTCTGTACTTTACTGTTCACTAGTTCATTTTTGTATCCTCTGCTTTAATGCACATCTTACTCTTTCATAATCTTACTCTTTCACTTTCTGGGATAGAAAGGATTTAGTATAGGGAGATAAGCTTATACACAAGACATAGTTTGGGTATAGTATTATCAAAGAATTCAGGTTTCAGTGTTACTTTTGTTCTTTTGGGATTTTTGTTACCTTAAGAACTATAATGTAACAAAAAATTGTGTTTCTAGGATCCTATCTGCTGGAGTAAGTGAGGTAATATTGTGCTTTTCATGGCAAATATTTTAAATTTAAAAAAAAATCCATGCTCATAACAAATATTTCACCAAGTTCAATCAATACCTCTCCAGATATCCCAATGGCTTCTTCTGCAGCACCATACTGACCAATATGTCCATTCTGTAGTCGTTCCAAAAGTTCCAATAAAGCAAAATTTTTTTTCAATCCCCAAACACCTGAATCTCCTAGAATAAATATAAAAATAAAAACTAAATCTAACAGAATGCAATCATAATCACTTTACCTCATACCTCAACTGTAATTTCTAAGTCATACAGTTTAGCCATTAATAACGTCTAAATTTTAAAAATGCAAATTTCCCCCATTTTCTAGTTATGATAGAACAATTGTCTTAATATTCTTTAAAGAACAGAATTCCTCAGGATTCTACATAGAAACATACTTTCAAGTTTTATTATTTTTCTATCATTTAACTTTATAAATCCTATTCTGTCACTGACTTTTACTATATATTCTAAAATAAGTGCTTTGAATTATTTTTACAGCAACTTAAGGTAAGAAATACAGTTTACATTGCAACCCAGGATCATATGTCATATATATAACTGAAACAAAAGTTTCACACACCAGTATTCACTCTTGCAGCGTGCAGCACACTGTTTTAGGTTTATTTCGTTTTAAAACAATTTCATCACAACCAATTAAATTGATTTCATGACCACAAATAAGCTATGACTCATGTTTGAAAATCCCTGTACAAAAAATACACAACCTAAAATAGCTCTATCTCTAAGTAAACTGGAACTAGAAGAGCTAAAGATAATATTTCCCCCACCCTTCATCTAACCTAGAACCTTATAGAAGTCAATGACTATAAAACTCCTTTTCACGCAGACACATCAAAACAATACGGTTGGGGCACATCCCCAGTGGGAGGTGTGCAGGAGGCAGCTGATCGATGTTTCTCTCTCATTCATGTTTGTAACTCTCTATCCCTCTCCCTTCCTCTCTGTGAAAGATCAATAAAATATATTTTAAAAAACCAACAATACAACAATCCCTTTTAGGTAGATAAGACTCTAGGAATATCTGGATAGGAAACAATGCTTCTTTTCCCCAGAACTGACCATATATGCACGCATGCACATCCACTCATTCTGATTCTCTCTCTCTCTCTTCCTAAATCTACAAATAAAAGCCAGATTCTTCAGCAGTTAGAAGGAATATGTCTGTTATGTTTGTTATGGTGAGTTTCTATGCAACAAATACCACCTGACACATTGTTGTCACCTAATCTATATTCACTGAATGAATGCATAAATGAAAGGATGATGGGGTTACCGGCTGCAGGGCTCCCCTTCCTCTTGGCCAAGTTTTTCTTGGCCAAATTAGGCAAAATAGCCTCTTCTGACTTTTGTGGCCTCCTTTCCCCAGCACCTTCATGCAGCCAATCCAGCATTTCTCCCTCAACCCGCTAACCAACCAGGCTTTCTCCTTAATTGTTTACATTTTCTACTCTTATTCAACTACAAGCTTAGTTGTATCTAGTCTATTTATATAAGCATTAAGAAGTATACTAAGCAAGTCCTTTAGTTAAAGATATTATCCTGACAATTTTCTAAATATTGTCATCTATATAATAAAAGCCCAGTGACCGGAACGACCAGAATGACCGGTGGCTATGGTGCATACCGCAGCAGCCAACCAGCCTGATCCAGGCCCGGTCGGCCCCCCCTCCCTGGCCGTCCCGGCCCCCGATCGGCCCCCAACACCCTGATAGGGGGCGGGGCCAGCCAGCCAACTGCCTGAGCCCCCTCCCCCCACTGGCCCAGCTCGATGCGCCCCCTCGGGACAGGCTGGCTGGACCCTACCCATGCATGAATCCCTGCACCAGGCCTCTAGTTAAATAAACTCCTAGCAGTATCAACCTACTGTCTAGTAGTATATCACTAATATTTCTGTAATGAGCTCGGTCTCAGAACGAATTAAACTCGTAAGTCAAGGCCCCACTGTATTCTTCTTGGACTAGAGAATAAATCTGATGCTGATTTTCTCACATTAACAGTCGTTTTCTTCTCTAGAAAAGGGAATCACAAATTATTTTTTCTTTGTTATACCTTAACAATTTTCAAATTATCTGCAATGTACATATACATTGTTTTTCTAGTATAACTAAAAATAGATTTTTAAAAACAATGGCATCAAACTATATCAAGGGTTACTAACACATATTTAACAGACTAAAATCACAGTAAAAATCTAATCTATAAGCTATAGTAATTACAATCTAAATCCAAGGCAAAGTTATTGGTTTGTTGGTTTTTCTAATGCCATATGATAGCAATGATGTATAACTTCAACCTAGAACACGACTAAACCATTGTCTGTCACAAATTTCTGATTTAGTTAAGCATTGAGGGTGGTAAAAACCCACACTGTGGCCGAAACCGGTTTGGCTCAGTGGATAGAGCGTCGGCTTGCGGACTGAAAGGTCCCAGGTTCAATTCCGGTCAAGGGCATGTACCTGGGTTGCGGGCACATCCACAGTAGGAGATGTGCAGGAGGCAGCTGATCGATGCTTCTCTCATCGATGTTTCTAACTTTCTATATCTCTCACTTCCTCTCTGTAAAAAAATCAATAAAATATATTTTAAAAAAAAAAACCCCACACTGTGGTATTTATGTAGAAAAGGTATAGTGCGCTTCAAAAGGGAGAAGGGTCCACCCTCCATTTATGAAACATTTTTTCTAAAATACATACTTCTATAGTTCTCTATAAAGATGATATATATTATAGAATAAAAAGCCAAACAAAAGAATGTTGAAATACAGATATCTTTCTTTTCCCCCTAATTATTTCTTGGCTAATAATGCATTAATGTCATCTATAGTAATGATAACACTGTCCTATATTAGTTTTCTGGCAAGCGGACATACTACATATTTATTTAAATCAGAGATTACCAAAACCTTAAGAAACCTATCCTTTTCCTACAAGAAAACTTTTAAAATCATGTTTTTCAGCTTTTTAAAGTTTTCCAATCTAAAAAATTTTCTTTTTTTTGTAAATTATTTTGAACATGTTCCATTTGACACCAGCCTTAAAACAAATATTGCTACTGACCTAAAAAAAATGAAAACTTTAAACTATTTCTTTTAAAGAAAATTCTGTTATCAAAAAGAATAGATTTATAGAACTTGAATTTGTAAAATAACTGTTAAAATGTTAATGTTATCATTTCTAAATCCAGTATCCCATGTTAATAACTAATTTTGAAATATAAGGCAAAGTTTTAAAAGATTTAGGAAACTAAAAAAATCAACAAAACCTTTACACTTATTTAAACAGAAAATAAGTAATTATCACAAGCCACAAACACTTCTGTTTTGATCCCAGTAAATAAAAACATGCTGACACTCAAATTACTTAACCTGTATTTTCATTATTGGCCTATTTATTATAGAAAGATTGTTTTATTTTATCAATGGCTTCAGGCAAAAGAATTTTCTTATTTCTTTGAATAGATTATGTTCTCGGGTATCTTAAAAAGCTCTTCATATATAAGTAAGTATTGAATATAAACATCGCATAAGATTAAATAAAATTAGTACCTAAGATTGAGTAATTTATACTTACAAGACTACTACTGGCCTTAAAGAAACTGAATCTATCTTCTAATTATGTAATTTTAAAAATCAACTGGGAAGAAATATTTCCCTATGATGTTTGTGTTCCATGGACAATTTTAAATCTTAAATATATACACATATATTTTCCTACCTAGGTCTGTTACTTGTCGATCAAAAGGGCAACGGATTGCTCTTCCATGAAGAGGCAGGCGGGTGAGACAGTCGTGGCAGACAGTGTGGCCACAAAGCAGCAGGCGAGGAACTTTGTCTCCTTGCAAAGAAAAGACATCTTCACAAACTCCACACTCCAGCACCTAATATTTGGAAAGGGGACATGCAGTCTTT